TTGATGTTTCAATAAGTCTGTAACATACAGTTTAGTATACCATAAATTAGCCATTTGATGTTTCAAATACCTGGCCATTTACCTGTCCAAAAAAATAAATAAATAAACACCTGACCATTCAACAAATCACTATTTCTCCCCATAGTGAAAGCTATTCGGTTAACTTACAAACTGTTTAGTATACCAGGAACTGAAACATCAATTTCACAAGCAAATTGGAGTAAAATTTGGGCCCTTAAAGTCCCATATAGATGTTTAATCTTAGTCTAGAAATATTACTTAAGGGTTGTGAAAACAAAAACAACAAGTTGGAGTAGAAAGAAAGAAGGTGATCAATTGTACTATGTGCAATAACACACCTGAAACATAAGAACATCTGTTTTTTGAATGCAACTTTTCTAAAGCTGTATGGCTTCAATCTTAGGTGGGGCTGAACCCATTCAAATATTCAATAGGATATCTCATATCTCTACGAAAAGCATTCAATAACAAATGGACAAGCAATTTCTTTCAACAACACTTGGCCATTCTACAAGGTTCACAAATCACATTCAAGTCTTTTGCCATAGTGGATGGCTCATGGCACACAATCAAATATTCAATAAGATATTTAATATCTCTACAAAAAACATTCAATAAGATATTTCTTTCAATACTTGGCCATTCAACAAGGTTTACAAATCACAAGTCCACAATCATAAACATTAAACCAGATCCACAACCATGAAAGTTTAAATACAATGAGGTCCACAAGGCCACAACTATAAACATTCAAAACTACCTCAAAGGTTCACAAATCACAAGTTCACAACCATAAACATTAAACAAAGGTCCACAAACCACAACCATGGAAATTTAAATTGAATGAGCTCCATAAGACTACAACCATAAACATTCAATCATCAATAGCAATAAGAGGATGCTCCTCACTGATACATAATATATCTTCAAAAAAGACTAGGACAAACACAAATTAGAATTAACATAACAAAATCAAAATGAACAAGAAAAAATATAATAGAAAACAAAAAGCTTACCTGATTCCATACTCTAAATTTCTTCTAAACTCTCCTCTAAATGAATGTAGCCATGTTATCTTCGTAGCCAATCTTGTCCACAAATGATAGCTTTCACCATTATTGGAGTTAGAGAACTATGGAATGAATCGAGCACACGGCCTCCGGTGCTAAAAACTGACTCAGATGCAACTGTAGATACATGCATAGCTAATACATATTGAGCCATTATAGAAAGCACTTGATATTTAGACAAATTAACTTTCCACCAAGCCAATATGTCAAATGATTTATTTATTTATTTTTGGATATTCACATTCATCCCCTAAATATTTATCCAATTCTATTTTGGTATCTACACCTCATTGGCCTGCTTTTTGATTTTTATACAGTGCCATTCATAAAATCAACAACATCTTCTACACTATCAACTTCCATCTCATTTGTGTCTTGAATTTGATTGTTTGATTGAACATTATGAAATGACTTAGCTTAACTATAAAACTCAAACATGGAGACCAAAACATGTTTCACCCTCTCTCTCAACACTTGAGCATTATCAACATCATAGGATTTATTAATAACTCAATCCACATACTCCAATTTACACCGAGGGTCAAGAACCACTGCAATGAACAACATAATGTTGATATTCCTCACATTTTCCCAATACTTTTCAAACTTATTTTTCATCTTGGAAGCCATCAAACTAACACTAATATCATCACTGGTACACCTCCTAGAAATAACAAGCCCAATATCATAAATTTCTTTCATGTATTAATTTCCAGTTACATAAAGTGACACAAACAATTTCAATGTAGTTTCATAGAAAATTTTAGGAAAATGAAGTAAACACCAAGCATATTCCCAATCATCATCATTAGACAAACCCTTATTTTTTGAACTAGTAAGCTTTCTACATACTTACTATCAATAGCCTCTAACAAATCAAATGCCTTTTGAAATTTTAAAGTAGATTTCAACATCAAGTAAGTAGAGTTTTACCTAGTATCAACATCTAGGCAAATAAGACTCTTACTCTCTATCTTTCATTTCTCTACACAATCCTTAAACCTTTGCAATCGTGATGGAGAAGACCTTGCATACTTCACTGTAAAACGGATCTTAAAAATAGACTTATCTAAGTCTGACAACCCCTATTTGACAATTAAACTCAAAATATGTGCACCACATCACATATGTAAGAATTCACCATTTAAAACACTCATCTTCCAACTGTTGAGTATCTTTTTCAAGTATTGAATTCCCACATCATTTGATCTTGCATTGTCTACTGTTATATTGAAAATTCTTTCAATGCCCAAATCAAGCAAGCATCTCTCAATTGCCTTGCCAATCACTTATACTCAGTGATTGGAAATTGGATAAAAATTTTAAATTTTCTTATACAATCTTCAGTCATCATCTATGAAGTGAGCAGTGAGACACATATAACTAAGATTTTGACAATATGTCAATGTATCTGTAGTAAGGCAGATTCTCGATGGCAATTTCTTAAAATATTTCTTCAACTTCATATTCTCCTCCATAAAGAGATCATAACAATCTATATTATTGTTTGACGTGAATGAAATATAAATCGTAGTTGCATGGTATCACAAAAGTCACGGAACCCCTCTCGTTACACATGCTTCAAGGGCAATTCATCTACAATAATCATTATAGCAAGTGCCCTTTTACAATCTTATCGGCCAAACTTGTGAGTTACAAGTATTGGTGTGGTGCCCGTCCTCCCACTTTTGCATTTTGATATGAAGACTCCAAAGTTCTTTGTTTCTTGTCTGCATTTAAATGGTACTTTTTGCATCTAGTTAAGTGATTAATCAAGCAACTTGTACCACTTGTACTAGGACAAGCTAAGTCCTTACCACAATAGTTACATGATGCTCTTTGATCACTTTTAACTTGACAATCTATCTTAGTGAATTTCAAGAAAAAATGGGGAAATTTCAAGGCCCAAAAAAATTTAAAGAAAAATAACGAATAAGTATAAATAAACATGAAACATCCATAGTAAGCAGTTGTTTACTTGATTAAATAGGTATCTGTTAAAGTTAACAACTAGTAGGAATTGATCTTTCAACATAAATCATATTATGCAATAGAAGCCATCCATACAGAATCATCATAAATCTATAACTGAAGTTTGATTCATAATAAGAACTTTATCAGGAAAATATTAATTTTGTAGATTTATTTATCCTTTTCTCAAGTATAAGTGAAATCTATTAAAATAATACAAATATCAGGAAAACCACTAGCATAAGTTTGATTCCGTACATAAGTTAAAGGTGCTAACAACAATGCAAAACAAATCATCACAGTTTTCTCATATCTCCTTATGAGTTCATCTTAGTATATTAAGCAGTAGCAAAACCCCTATTCAAAGATTAGTAGATTGTAAAATATAGAAAGTGGTGGGACGACTCTAGTATAGCCTATCTATTCATTATTGTAAAATATATTAAGCAGTAAATTAATTACATAAATTTGAATTGGTCCCATCGGCTCTAGTATAATCTATCTATTCATTATTGTAAAATATATTAAGCAGTAGCAAAACCCTTGTTCATTCTTGAAAATTAATCACATAAATTTGAATTGGTCCCATTGCATTCCAAACATTCGGTATAGCCTATATGAACAAAGATTATTATATATGTATCATTTTCCAAAAGCAAAATATACCTAAATAAGAGTCCAGAACTCAAACCAAAAGAATGAACCTTTTAGTGGTATCATTCGGCACTCAGAGTTTCAGACATGGGACATTCATATTTTAAACAAATTTTATAACAAATATTTAAGTATTTTAACTAAAAATATAATTTATTTGCAAGTCTACCACTATTAAAGCAGAACCGGCGGCGGCGACTAGAGAGGAGAAGTGGGTCGGTATTCTGTGATTTTGTCTGATGAGAAGAAACCACAGATCACAGGCGACGACAACGGGGGAGAAATATAAAGAAAACCGGTGTATCGGATGACAGTGACGGCGACAACGATGTCAAAGGAGAAAGAAGAGGCGAAGGAAGAGGAGTGGCGACCGCGGCTTAGTTGCTAGGGTTTATGGTGACTTGCGAGTGACTTCTCTGTTCAAAGTTCAAACAAGAAGAAAGAAAGAGGGGTTTTGTTGTTTTGGCCTTTTGGGGTTTGAGTGAATGAAAAAAAAATCAGTTTTTTTGTGCTTGAGCCGAGAGAGAGGGTCAAAGGGGCGCCGGGGGCTGGGCTGTTGGGGCAAGGAAATATAAAAAATATATAATATATATAAAACCGGTCGGTTTGGTTAACTGTCGGTTTTTTGATAGGTTAACTAAACACTGAACCGATCCTTCGTTTTTTTTTAAAAACCGAACTGACTAGTTCGGTTAACTGGATTTTTCGGATCGATTTATTCGATTTGGATCGGTTTTTCGTTTTCTTGTGGACACTCCTACTTGAACCCACACAATACTAAACCCATCCCGTTGTCATTCCTATATAATTATTAATTAGCAGTGAAATTAATAAAAACGTTAGTTTTTGTAATTATGTTTATTTATTTAAAGTTAATCAAATTTTGATTTAAAAACAATAAAAATCATAACAGTTATTAAAGTTACTACAAATTATTAATAAAACTAAATTGATTAAAAAATATTTATTCATATTAAATTAACAATAATTATTTTTTGTAAATCAACATTAAATACAATTATTAAAATTTTAGATATTAATAATAACTTTGAATACTTTTAATTTATTAACAACAAATTTTGGTTATTAATTTAATATTAATTAATAATAAATAAAATTATTAAATCTTTCATATTTTTCCGTATATCACAGGGTCCCGCTAGTATATAGATATTGATAGATGCCACATCATCATCACGGTTCGACCGGGGTCGAACCTCTGACCCCTGAACCTTTCCTTTTCCGTTCTATGCCCAGTAGTTCTATGAACATTGTATTAGGCTTGTGTTCTGAGCGCAAATTCCGGTCTGTGCTGATATCACTGACGATGAGCATCACGCACTCGCTGCAGTCGTTATTTGCCTTCTACCCCAACTATCGTAACTCTCTCGAGGCGTCCAGGCGTCGCATACCGGAAGCCCCGCAGTTCAAAGCATCACGCACTCGTCGCATACCATTAGCCAATGATGATGGCGTGGAACGATCGAAGGAGAGCATCAATGCATTAGTGCTGTCAGATTCACTTTGTGCTTCCAGATTCTGTTGTTGTGGGAGAAGACGTTTCATCGGAGCATCTGGAGCGGCTCTGCTCCCGATTTTACCTTCAAACGCATCCGAATTAGAGCGTGATACGACTGTATATATGCTCCCTTTTCCCTTAAAACTCTTAAGTTTCACTTTTTGTTTTGTTTTGTTCACATGTCCTTTGCTGTGCTATGTATTATTTATAGAAAATCGAGTCGGCAGATGTGCCCAAAGGTTTGTTCCACTAGTTTAAATTCCCGACTTTGGTATTTGGTTAACCTGGTTATTGATTATTGAAGTTTTGAACCATTGAGAAAAACCACTGATAAAGAACTCAGTTAAATCGATTCCATTTCAATTATCTGCAGACACGAGATTAGAATAGAAGCTTTAGGTAATTTATAAATTATCTTTCTTTCCATCTCTCTCAAGCCAGGTTATCTCTAGGTTGTACAGTCAAGATATCTAATTGGAGCCAAGCTGTGAGAAATATTTGAATTTAAGGCTGCATTGGTTGCATCTGAATTCTGAAGCGAAGGAAAACAAGTTTTCCTATGCTCAGTTTGGAAGGAGTAGAAATACAAATACGTAGATTGCAAAATCCTGTGTTTTGTATGTATTTGCACTGTACATATTTGTATCTGTACTTTTTCCAAACTGAGCCTATAGGAAAAATAATCGTTTCCCATGTCTTCCTGCTCTTTGGCTTAACTTGAGAAAGAAACCTGAATGGTCAAGGCGCATACATGGGTATTGGGAAAATAGGTTCAGGTCCTTCAGGAGGATCAACCCTCCATTCAGAAAGGACTAAGAATGCCATTTTCTTAAAACTGCCACTTTTGTTTTTTTAGAAAACGTATGTTTTCTGTAGCCAAATATATGCAGCCAAACATTGTTAAATAATATATTCTGTGAAAATTGTTCATATTACATCATTAACAAAATGGCAGAATTCTCATTTTCCCGTACAAATTCATATTTCATATCCAAGCATGATTGGGCATGGGATTTATAGAAAAGTTCTACTATTCTGGATTACTAGATCTAACCAAACACAGAGCATCTGTTGGATCAAATTTAAGCATTTGCTTCAAAATTGTACTATTGTCTTGTAAGAAATTAGAACTTACAATCATGCTTCAAGTACCCAGACAATGTTATCAGGATTAATCATTGTTTAATGCATAATCTTAGTGGACGTGGCGTAACAGTAAAACCTCATTGCAGGCTGTGCTGAACAAATTTCACCCTCCCAGACCAGATTGGTATGAGGAATTATATGCATCTATCATGGACAAGAGCATAGCAGCTTATGAGGAAGAGGTTAGTCCATTATGATCTGTGAAACCATTTTGATCGTAGGTCTAGGGGTACTTTCTTTCCTTATGATTACATGAATATGGGGTTTACGTGCCAACTTGTTTATTGCACTTACAGGATCATATACTAAATGCATGCATTTTGAGTTTTGACACCATACAATCACCTTTTCATATGGAAGGTTGCAGGTTATAAAGCAGATTTATTTAAAAAATTGAGAGGAAAGAATAAGAAGGTGATGGAGCTTGGCATTGGGACTGGCCCTAACCTCAAATATTATGCTGATGAAGCCGGTGTCAGTGTTGTCAGTGTAGACCCAAACAAGAAAATGGAAAAATATGCCAAGGAAGCTGCAGTAGCTGCAGGTCTACCATTGTCATGCTTTAATTTTATCCAAACTGTATGGTTCCTTCCCTAACATATTTAACTACAATATTAATTGGAATATTGATCTTTTTTTTTTTTTGCATTGGTGAATCCTTAATTTTTTTGAGAAAAAGAGTAACTTTATAAAATAGAGAAGAGAGAGTACATGAAATGATGTACAAAAGGCTAGTCACACACATGTTACAAAGGCATTATACTATTACTATACAAGTTTTCCCTGTGAGCACCAGAGTTTTGTAATTTATCTGCCACCGAGTTTAAATTCCTAGGAATCTAGATTAAAGATGCATTCAAGGAGCATATCAGATCTCTAGCCTTGTCTAGGTAGTGAACCAGTGTCTAAGATCATCCTTCCATCTCCCCAAGCCACTTTATTTTTGCTTTAAACTTGGTTAATGATACAGAACTAGAGGTGTAAAATGGGCCATGCCACCCTTGGGTCGGCATGGTTTGGGCTGGGCATGGCATGGCCTGCCAACTAAAGTGACGGGCCGGGCTGGGCCAAGGGTTTATGGCCCGTGGGTCGTGCTGGCCCGCGGCCTATCTCAATTTTATTGTATTTTTTTTTTCAATTTCATTTTATTATTTCATATATAAATAATTGTGTATATCAACGTTCATATGGAATAAAATTTTAAGTTTTTTTTTTTCAATTTGTCAGTTTATTTTAATCTTTCATTTTTTTCCAATTTTTCTTAAAAAATTGTATTGGGCCTTGGGTGTGCCAGACTTCCCTCTTGGAGAATTCGTGTGAGGTAGGCATGGATTGCGTGCGGGCTGGCCCGACATGGCAAAAGTGGGCATTGTTGGCCCGACTAGACCCACATTACTTCTATACGGAACAATGTTATTGTATTGCATGGAAATTATCTAATCATATGTTAAGAGTTGAGCTTTTCTTATTTCGAACTCAGTAACCTCTTCCCCTCCCTTCTCCCTCTCTTTCCTCCCTCTTCTTTTAGAAACAATTTGGTTTATCTATGTAAGTGCATTTCATTTTTCAATGAGGTCCAAGACTTTGATACAAAATGGGCACATAGTATCTGGAAAGGAAGGGGAATAGGATGGAGTCAATCTCCTTCCTTGGGAGAATTTGGGGGGATAGTTACTCTATGGAGTGAAGAATCAGTGGAGTGTATAGAGGAATTGAATTGCAAATTCTTAGTTTCTATTAAGTTGAGAAGCGTAACTGATAATTTCGTGTGGGTGATAACAAATGTTTACAAACCAACTTCATACAGGGAGAGGAGTGAATTGTGGGAAGAATTGGCGGACATAAGAGGTCTCTGGCAAGGCCCATGGTGTTTGGGAGGGGACTTTAATGTCATTAGATATACTGGGGAATCTAACAACCCAAGACAACAAATCACTACAAGCATGAGGAATTTAATGATTTCATTGAAACATTTGATCTTAAAGAGGTTGGATTGGGGCAAATTAGATTTACCTGGTTGAATTTCCAAGAGAATTCCATTTGTTCAAGGTTGGATAGATTTCTAGTCACATCAGATTGGGAGGACCATTGGGAGGGGGTGAGGGGCAGAGTATTGCCTAGACTCACCTCAGATCACTGGCTAATTAGTATATGGAAGGGATAAATGGAAGGAGGTCCGACACCCTTTAGATTTGAGAATATGTGGCTAACATCTCCAGAGCAGTGTTTTACAAGGCGTGGGAGGTGTATGCCTGGAGGCGCTCCCAAAACGCCCTGAGGCGTATGCTAGAGGTGCTGACACCTCTAAGGCGTACGCCTCTTGTGCTTTTTTCATGAGGCGTGCTAGAGGCATACGCCTCATGCACATCTGATATAAAAAGATAGAAAAAAAAGAAAAAAGAAAAAAAAAGGAAAGGAAAGTGTTGAGTTGGTCCGGTTTGTTTTATTTAGTTAGGAAGTTGTTGGGCTTTAGGCCCATTAGTTTATGTTTTTTAAGTTGTGACTGTTCAGCTTTAGTAGCCGCCCTACTAAGGGCATCATTGTAATATCTCATCTTTTTATGTTAAGTATAAATATAATGAGAGGGGGGCGGCTAGGGTTGATTTTCACAATCCTGGTTGACTTCCTACTCTCTTCTTCTTCTTCTTTCTTCTCTACTGCTGAAATCTTCATCTTCCCCTTCTTTCCTTCACAAGAAACTCGACTAAATCTGCAATTAGTGATCTCTACTTGGTATCAGAGCAGGCCGAAGGTTCCTTGAAGTTGTTCTCTCATGCAGCCCTAGATCGGCCGACTGCATGGTGATTTAAGAGGCTGATCAAAGCTCTCAGGTAAGCCAAGTTTTTGGTGGATCTGTGTGCCCTGTAGCTGGTCTAGGGTTTCTCATCAAAATCAGGAAAAACTGGAGAAAGGGGAAAAGTCCTGTTTTTGTTGGACTCTTCAATTTTGACCTAGAAAGTGGTGCCCTAATTTTTTAGGGTTCCTTGGTGTTTTTTGTATGGGGCGATTTAAGTCCTACCTGATTTGGAGGCTTCTAGAGAGGGCGGCTGCCTCTTCTCTCTCTTCTCCCGTCCCACAGAAAAGGAATCTTTTATGAAAAGAAAGTCTAGGACACCAGAAAGGTGTTGTTGGTTCCAAAAGGTGTTTTGTTTGATCTTACTGCAAATTTCAGTTATTTTCTTTACATTTTTTGAGAAGCATGGAGGGCCACGGAGTTGAAAATAAGCTCGGGAGTGAAATGGTACCAATGGGAGGAGGTGCTGGAGACCCTTTCGGGGCTGGGACCATTACTACAGTTAGGTTGGATGGTGCAAATTACTTAGAATGGTCACAATCTGCAAAGATGGCCATTGGTGCTCGTGGGAAATTAGAGTATATCACTGGTGAAGAGGTGAAACCCGAAACTAGCAATTCCCGGTGGGTATAGGAGAATTATATGGTAATGACTTGGTTGTGTAATTCTATGTTGCCACATATAAGTAAAAATTTTTTATGGGCAAATACAACTAAGGAAATATGGGATGGGGTTGCATAAACCTATTCATAGAGGGAGAATGTTGCTAGGGCTTATCAATTGAGAAATCAGATTATTGTTACAAGGCAGGGAGATAGATCTGTTGCAGCCTATTTTTCAGTCCTTAAAACCCTGTGGCAGGAGATTGACCATTTAGAGACWTTTGCTTGGGAAACCACTAAGGATGCATCTACCTATCAGAAACATCTARAGAAGTATAGGGTGTTTGAATTCCTTGCTGGCCTTAATCCTGAGTATGATATTCCACGACAACACCTTCTTTCTAGGGACAGTGTTACTCTCTCCCAAGCATATGCCTTTGTGTCAGGGGAGGAGTGCAGGAAAGTGGCAGTGACATCAAGAAGGAAGATAAAAGAGATCTGATCTGTGACTACTGTAAGAAGCCTAAACATACAAGAGATACTTGCTGGAAGCTTCACCCACATCTTGTGCCGACTAGATTGAA